ATATATATATATATATATATATATATATATACTATATGTATAAATATGTATATCTATATATTCCCGCAAACAATATAACAATTCTCCCTGTCTCCATCGTATATGCTTGTTAGACATGTTTCAATTGTCGTTTCATTTCCGACGTCGTACATTCACTGACTGCATTTTGTTTCCGCTACGTACATCTTTATTAGACCCGGGCGATTGTCGTATTGTGTATTTGTTGTCGTGTAACATAACCACTATCTGCCCTGTTCGTCCTACTACAGAGGTCTGGTGCTAGGTGCAATGGTGGGTGCTTTGACCCTTGGGTCGTCACTGCCCAGTTTCATCCGAGGGGTTGCAGGAGAGGATGTTAAATGGCAATATGTGATCCTGGCATCTACAGGTGTGTACATAAGCTCTATATATATATGTGTGTGGGTGGGTGCGTGTGCGTGTGCACATATATATATATATATATATATATATTGTATGTATTCAATACTCACATTTGTGTGTGTGTGTGTGTAGATCATACCCGTACAGTGTTGCCTGAATTTATTTAGAGGGTCGCGGAAGTGGTTGTGTGAAATGTCTATATGTGATCCTGGCATCAACAGGTGTATGTATAAGCTGTGTATATATACTACCCTAAACCCTAAACCCCTAGACCTTAAGACCACACGTTTCAGTACATTCACATATGCTGAACCCTAAACCTTAACATTCTAACACACACCGAAATAGCTTATAAATTTATCAACCGTTTTAATGTGCATGGACATACCCTGTCGACTACCTTATTCATTCACCTATATTTATACTAACATATCTTACTTTGTGTTCCTCTACATACCCTGCAGGCTTGGCAGCAGTGGGTGCGCTGTCTGTGCTGCTGCTGGGTCGGGACGGGCCCTACTCAACGCCTCTGAAGGTGATCAAAGTGTCAGCTGTGCCGCAGTTGTTCAGAGTGCCCAGTTTATTGCTGGCTATTCTTGCATATACATGTCATAACTTTGAGCTGTATGCCGTTTGGTAGGTTATACTCACATACAAATGTACAT